ATATTATCAATTTCACCTTGTCAATACTAGAAATAAACTCGGAAATAAAGTAAAATAAATGTGAAAGAAATGTGAAAGAGAAACTCGAATTTCAGCGACTTTCAGTATCAACATCAACTCGGAAAATAAACGATATCTGTTGTATTCCATAGGTCTGTTCCTTTGTACTAAAATGGAACTTGCTAAAGTTGATGTTTTTCCATAGTTGTCTCTGTTCATAGCATGATATAAACAGAGAAAGTCATAGAAAAAAATTGAGTTTAGCAAGTAGAGCAAACACAAACGAACAGGCCTTATACTGTCGTGCTGTCGAATGTCGAAATTCGAAATGTTTCATGTCATGAGTCGTTTGTCGATTGCGAACAGCGCCTCCATGCGCGACTGGGTTGCGCACAAACTTGATGGTCAGTCTCTTTATTTTTGGTTTGTCTATGGAATGTTCACAGCAGATAAAGGTGAAACCTCTAAGCGATGTTGTGAGATGGATGACAAGTCATCGACATACTGAACGACGTTGCTGCAGTTTTTTCACAATTTGCACACATCTTCGTTGCAAACAGACTGGCTTTCTTGCCAAAAGCGTCGCCAGAGAGGGGCAGGGTGGGGCAACCCCCCTCCCCCTAGAGGTTAACCAGTCACCCTGCTAATTGGAAGGATTATTTCATTCATCACATAATCTGACCAATCACCAACCAGAGACAACGTGAGCTTATCGCGAAAACATTAGCTGTCTTTCAATTCTGATTGGTCTTTCAGCGATGATGAATCACTCATTTTAAATGAATGTTAACTCTATGGTAGTAGTCCATGCTCAAATTGGAGGTGATGAGATAATTAAGAGAACAAACTCGAAGTCTCGCTCATTTGTCTTCCCGTACAGCAATACCATTCGTCCTGACGACCTCGTGGTGTTGCTCATCAACATAATTTCGTGAACATTGAAGCGACAGAATTTTCTCGAACATTCAGAACATCGTGATATTACTTATGATAACGCTCACTGTGAGCCAAGATCTTCTGAGAGCAGATTTTTTTCCTGAAATTAAGAATGCTTTGAAGATCCTTGTTGCTTTACCTTGTAAGACTTGTACAGTTGAGAGGTCATTTAGTAGCTTTCGGAAAATCAAAACCTGGTTGAGGAGCACCATGTCTGAAGCTTGACTCAATGGCCCCGCAATGATGAGTGGGCATAGGCAACATATTTTCAAAAACTTGAACGATTTCCTCAACAAAGTGACCAACGAATTCGCAAAGAACCCTAGAAGATTAGTTTCCAATGGGTTTTCTTCATTTTCTTTAGTGTTTTTATGGAGCCCCCTAGTTTTTCGCCCTTGTTGCTTTCACACAGTTTTTGAGAATATTAAAATGCGTAGATCATGAATTACTTGCGAAACCCGACGAAGAACGCTATTTTTTGTACGTACGCAAATTTGACAAATATTCTACTTGCTCAAGCTCCCCACTCGTTAGACCTATATTCGTGAGAAAGAATCATATATAGAATATGCGTTGTCTACTTGAGCTCTCTATAGAGTGGCATCTTCCATGAAATGTATAGTTTCAGAGTTGCGGACAAAATACTGAAAAATGTGCGAACATTTCGCTGTTTTTTGCGAATATCTCGGAACCCTCCAGGAAATTTCGTTTGCAAACTTCAGATTAGGATTTATCACCCCATAAAACATACTTAACCGTAGAGGAACCGACTACTTGAATTTTTCCACGTGAAAATACCATTTTATTGGACCACTTGTGGATATTGATCAATTGACTCTTCTGGTAGCTCGAATGTGGCACACTCGTTGATATTTTCGCCAACTGTGAGAGTATTATAATTTGTGAGACGATTCAACTGGTCTTGATCTTCCTTGGCACTGCACTGATTTGCAACAAGCCATTGTTGTTTGTACCAAACCTGTCTGATCTCATTAGTCTGTCCAGGACGTGATCCTAAATTCATATTGATAAATATAGAATGGGGGACTTCGCTCCAAGTTGCCAACCTAAAAACCTCTACAACTGTAGATGCAAGATTATGGAAGTTTTATTACTCAAATAGTTTCATTTCGATGAAATCTGATTGTAGAAATCTACTCAGCTCAGAAGGAATATTCATTTTTGTGAACTCGAGTTCTGATTAGTTGAAAATTATGTTGAGGCACCTGCTTAAATTCTGAAATTTCTCATATCTTCGTAAATTTTATTACTTGTCACATTTTTGTTACGTATTCAAGATTATTTTATTTATGGACAACACTATTTTCATCATTAGGTAAATAAGTTTGATCGTTGCAGTGGGAAATAGGAATATATTTGAGTGCTAACAATCGATCCGGACATGACTTAGTTAGGAATAAAATAATGAAGTTTTAACCTTCTGAAATAAAACCATAACTGTTTGAAAACGAAGAAATCACAGTCGATATCATGAATATAAATAGTAACATTCCTATGTAATAATAAGTGTTTTCTTAGTAAAAAAAATAACACTAGGGAAGAGAAAATCTGCAATAAATACTTTTGAAGCTTACATGACTCACCTTAGATAAAAACTGTTCAAAGTTTCCAATAATAGAGATACATATCATCACAAATATCGGAATACAACAATATCAAAATAAGATACCTGTTTTCAAATGATAAGACACAAATTGTTTATTGGTAACAGAAATCAAAAGACTATTCGAATATCACAATATTTATTATAGCATGCGTTACCTATTATGGGTAGTGTAGGTAATATAAATGAATAACAATAAATATAGAATAGAATAGAATTGAATTCCTTATTTTGAGAATAAAAAATTGATTGGTCTATGAAACAAGTCAAAAGTTATACAAATGCATTCAGTACAGACATAATAAAATCATTAATTTTGGACATTCAACTCGCTAATTAAGATTCCAAGTAATCCTCAACCGTGTAATGCTCTAACTCGATCAAGTATGATTTCAATGACCGCATGAACCGCTGATGTACTCAATCGTTTTTATTGCCTGTGGCAGACGGTTAAAAAATTTAAGTGTACTGTACATTGTAACTCTTTCATGGGAAATTTTGGTGTGCCTGGGAAACGCATAATCACCTTTATGCCTAGTATTATAAGTGTGTCTATTTTCATAACAGTTGAACTTATGCGACTGTTTCATAAGAAATTTAATAGTTTCTAATACATACACAGCAGGAACCGTGAGAATATTATGGCCTTGAAGATTTCGCGACATGATTCTCTAACATTCATATCAAACATTACTTGGATAGCCTTTTTTTGGCTTTGACAAAAATTCTATCTAACTCCCGACTGCCACCCCATATGGCAATCCCAAACTTGAAGGACGAATAAAAATTTGCATAGTACACAGCAATCAATACATCTTTGTCTACATTATATTTTAGTGTCTGAATAGCAAAAGTTGTGGAAGCTTATCGCTTATATAAATTTTCAATATGACATTTCCAACTCAGAGTAGGGTCTACTGTGATGCCAAGAAATTTAAATGTATCACATTAGGTCAATATTTGATTATTAATAGTTGAATATTTAGGTGTTATGATAGTATCATCATTTTTGAATAGTATACAACTTGTTTCGTCCTTATTCAAGACTAAGCAAAAATAAGGAAAGGATTCTTTCTGTTCCTACGTCTCGATTTTGCTTGTGTCCACGAATTGTTTTGATCAGTAATTGTATTGACTTAAGCAAGCTGCTGTATTTAATTGATTTTTGCCATTGATCCTGCTTGCTGTAAGCCAAAGGCCACATCTGAATTTGCTATAGGATGATGCTTTTGATTAACTTTGGGTCCTACTTGTGGTGGTATTTGTTTTGTCTCAATTTGATTCGTCTTTGGGGTTTTTTCCCTCATTTGCCTAACTCGTGTTTTTGTTTCATTTCTCTTATCTTTTCTTCCTGACTGAGTGTTTACACTTCTAGTAAGCAAAGAAGATGAAATAAGGCTCTGTTGCCACCTGTGATTCATGATGTAAATGAGCGGATGACAATGTCGAGCTTGTTCTGGAAGAGTATTCATCACATTTTTTTTTACCTCTTGTTACATTGTGGAGATACTGGCTTTCCAATTTCGTTTCCAAATACGATATTTTGTCTTTCAGCAAAACATTGTTTTCTTGTAGTATAAGGCATTTTTTCTCCATTTCCAGTATGATTCTTTTATACAGTAGAATGTTCTCACTGGCTTCATGAACATTATCATTCTTATGTCTAACCCTAGCCTCGTTTTCTGCAACATGCTTACAGGAGGCAGTTTTTGCAACGGCTGATTGCTTCAAACACGCGGGATGGAAAAGTTCACTACAAACTGTACACTTATGTGATGTAACTACTTTCTTGTTACAGTGGAAACATAACTTATCGTCGTTATTTTTAGGAGCTAAAACTGCGTAATATTCAGACGGCGCCATCTTCTATTCTTCTGTCATATATAAATATGAATATAAAGACCTAATAACAATGTTATGTTGATTACCATTACGACGTGTCGAGAGTAGCACCAGACCAGATAACTTGGAATCCTCACATCCAGTCTATTATAGCTTTGCACGTTTATCATGAGATTTTCTTGATCTTTATTCAAGAGTTTGAACGTGATTCGAACATTACATGATATACCATTTCTTACTCGTGACACTACTGACACTATTGAGAGTATTGACATTCCAGTATTGACGTATCGCAGATGCACCAACATGATTTTCAGCCAGTCAGATGTGGAGTCCACAAAAACTATTTTTTCTTCTGAATAACTTCCATTAGAAAACTGAGTAGACGCCTACAATCAAATTGCACCAAAGTAAAACTATTTGGGTAATCAAACTTTCATAATATTGCTTCTACAGTGGTAGAGGTTTTAGGTTGGCACCTTGGAGCAAAGTCCCCCATTGAATCAATATAAATAGCAAATACTGACACTGACAGTGATCAGTTTCGAAATGGAACATTCGGCATGTGCTAGTAGTAAAGATATCTTTTCTTTTTCAGTTACCAATTACAGAAGCACACACTTATCAACTGTCGACTGCAGAGAATGAACTAGGCGTTGTGATGGCTCATTCAGAGCAAGGTCATCCCATGGTACCTATTAGTTGGACTGAAATGCAGTGCTCGAAAACTTTCGTCAAGGAACCTAGAAAAGTGGCGAAAGTTGTTCCAGAACATCTGACCAAGGAGAAATCGGAACCGAAGGCAGGCTGAAATCAATTGGAATTGGAATGTTTGTTGGTTTTGTGCAGTGTGGTATTCAAAAGCCAAATAATATACCTACAATGATGTCGACTAAGAACTTTTATTCAAAAAATTAATATTTTTGTATCTAGAGCGCGAAATTCGACCTTGGTGATCGAGATCTGATTTTTTTAACGAGGCGTAGCCGAGTTGAATGAATAGTCCAGATGACCAAAGTATTTCGCGCTCGAGTTGCAAACGAAATTTTTTCTACAAACGTCAAAAAACCAAGTCCTAAAGTAAAAATATCTTAGCTTGATATGAAAAATATTGTTGAACTGGCTTGAAAGGCCTCCTCCTATCCTCCGCTAGGTAGGTACGCACGATGTTCCACGAACATAATAGGAATTTCCTTCCGTGCGCTCCAAGAGATAAAACAAAGTTATTGTTGAACATTCAGAAATGAATGATTTCGTGGATGTTTGCTTGATTGAGGACCATGAAGTTGAAATATAATGGCGGATTAATGCAACATTTGCATAGTCCTAGTCTTCGTTCTAAGCATAGTCTTGATATTAATTTTTGTCTCTTGAAGATTTGAGGTATTTATCCAGAAACATTAAAACTTGATTTAAGCATAAGAGTGATGTGAGAATTTGTGGTTCTTTTTGTATCAGAGATGAGGAAAATTATCTATCAAACTTATCAACATCTGAGCTTTCTCATAATATTATTTTCGGAATATGTAAACAACAAATCATCAACAATTCTATCAAAGGAGCATGCGCCGAATCCACATAACAAAAGCATAAGCATAAAAGCTCAAATTAATCAACTTTCAAGGTCGTTTTCTTAGGCTTGTGCTTATGCTTAAGACTAAAATTGGTGTGTAAACGGCCTCATGCAAGTACCTTGTTTCAACTTCTAGTTATGCTTGAAATTATGACTAAGACTATGATTAGGACTATGCAAATGTTGCATAAATCCATCATAAATATCTCATATAAGCTTTTATGATCATATAAATGGTGTATATTGAGGTTATGGAGTCATCTACATCAAGGAAAATTCATAATCAAGAAGTTTCCCATCTCTGTTATATGAAAACGTTAGTAGATATGTTATATAACATATATTATTATGTCTCATCATATATTATGCTTTATAATAATTTTTCCTCTAATCTGTGCGAAATGTGTGTTTTCGATGGTCTCTGAGATAATTGTTAATTATATACCTTCTGTACAAAGTATTCTCCCTATAGCTATTAAAAATATAAGACCGAATCTCAGGTCATAAAAAGCTTATAACGTTGTTAATTATTCCGGAATGCGAATTCAAATCAGAGCGGGAGAGTGCGTAGAGAACTGTACTTGATTGGTCGGCACGGACCTTGCGCAGACATGCGAAAGTCGACTGCCAGCGCCAAGCGGGCCAAGCCGTTCACTTTCGCTTCGCCGTTGCGGTCATGATGACCATAACAACAAAATAACAATACATAGAAGGCCATCATTATCATGTTATTCGGCTATCTATGTGGTGTGGTGTGGTGGTCATACTTATTCATATTCATGTATCAAGTAGTAGAATTTGAGGATGGCAGCATGGTCATGATTTAAGACAAGTGGTGTATGCCGAAAAAGCAGAATGTGAATTGGACGCCATGGAAGGAATACCATAGGGCTCTGAGAAATCTCTCGAGTGCATCATCCGAATGGGATAAGTTCCCAATAAAAACAACATTTTATGAAAAGGAACATCAATATAATTATACAAAAAAAATCTCATCTTTTCTGATGATAATGATACAACCCTAATACAACAGTGTTTTTTTTCACCTACAGAAAATTTCGAAATACCACAAAATAAACTGAAACATGCAGAAGATTTCAGTGATATAAATAATCACGTCATTTTGACGCCATTAGGATGTCGTCATTTTGACGTCATTAGGATGACGTCATTTTGACGACATGAAAATGACGTCATTCGTCTTTGACTTAGAAGGTCATATAAACGTCATTATGACGTCATTTTGGAAGTCATCCTGACGTCAGGCCTGACGTGATAATGACGTATAAATGACGTCAGCTTGTTACCTGGGTTCTTGCATTGTACAGTCTATTTTCAGCGTTTGGTAAAGTGAGGGATTGAACATTCCTCTTATCTCGTAACTCAAACTTAGTGAACAAGATCATTGATACGGTTTCGCTACATTGGAATGATATTGTTTCACTATCTTGTTTTTCATATCGCATGATACGATATTTCGAGATAGTGAATTTGTTATTCTTTCTCGAAGGATTCCTAACAAAAAACTGCTGCAAATGTTCCTTGAAATTGAAGAACATATCCTGCGCTACTGGAATCACTTCAAAATTTTTGTTGGTGTTTTTTATAATCCTGGAGTATTCTTGGGGTAAATATATTTTGTCATACTTTCTTTTTTGTATTTCTATCGCTCCAAAGCTCCTATCACACGGAAGAAAACTGTGCCCGAGTTCGGGGTACCTATGCTGTATCATCCTGAACTTTCCTGTTTTTTCTATCATAGTATAAAGGAACTGTACCAGTACATAATTTTTATTTTGCGAGGAACAGTTATCAGAAAAAATGTATAAATCAGTAACTGCTTGACCGATATAGTTACTCAAGAAATGATATAGCAAACTGACTACATCATTTTGTCCTTTAGCAGCCAATGTCTCATCATAGACATAATAGAAACTTTTTCCAGTACTTCCCACGTGAATACAGAAGTTGTAAACCCAAAGCTGAATTTTATAGAAGACTTCTCCACTTGAAGAAACGGGAAGCGGCAAGTTTTGCTGGAAGTCGAATGTTAAAACTTCTACACTGGCATCTCTCTTAGCCAGGGTTGTTTTATCTTTGATATCTGTGTAGAAAGTTTCTGCTTTTATGATATGTATTGTTTTTTCGGTCTTTAACTGTACTTTTTGTTCTTCATTATCGGCAGCACTGATTTGATTCAAGAGCTTATCACACTTCATGCAGGTATCAGATTTTGGTTTACCAAAAGATATTTTATAGTTCTCTGTGAAAAACTTTCTAAAATATTCATACTTCACTATGGGTTCAATATTTCCATTTCGCAGAAGTAACTGATACTGCTCAGGTTCGTGTTTCTCCAAGTACATTTTATGCATTTTTGAAATACTCAGGAGAGGAGACAGGTAATAGTGATGCAAGTTATCTTTACGGCTGTAATGAGATTTGTATCTTGGGTAACTGAGTATATGTTCACGTATCTTCTCATCAGTGCCTTCAGGAAGTTTATTAGGTCTGAACAAGTGTTTGCCTCTTCTATCGATAGGTGGAGTTCCATGACCAGAAGTCAGGTGGTATTGTAACCGCTCAAGTCTTGCTTTCGTGATCCCATGTATCGAGAGAAAGGCCTTCTTGCAAATTATTCGAACTACTCCATTGTGGAGAATCTGAAATGAATAGAAGATTATTCAAAGTTATAAAAAAGTTTCATTGATTAGAATAATGAACACATGCAAACGTTCTCACACCTGAATCACTACATATCTATAGTCGTCATACATGATACACTGACTGACATACAATATAAAGAATTTTTTCAGATCAGAAAATCATTATACCTTGTAAACAAATGTTGAATTTTTCTCATTTTTATCACCGGAACGTGGTCTTCTACGATGTACTTCGACTCTGTCGATATTTCCGTACAAATATGCATCTTGCAAATTTTTTGATACCATTGCATAAAAATCACGAAATATGGTATCACAGCATTCGGCTCCAATTTCATCGAAACATTTCAGCTTACAACGGCAGTTTTCCCCAATGATTTTTCCAGGTTTATGTGAACCAGTAATGTTGAAATAAGGTTCGCCCTTAACTCTTTTGGTTTTTTGAATATTCCTCTTCCATAACGATTTACGCACGAGTCGCTTCTTGCCTCGTTGTGGAATAGAAGTAGAAGTTCCAGGTACTGCTTGAACGTCTTCATGCTCAGGAGGTTCTGGACTATTCGATACATATTCAGGCCCTGAAACTTCAGGATGTTCAATCTCATCATTGGAAACAACGGAATCAGTCGAGGAAATTCTTGTTCGAACTCGTTTTTTTAGGTTAGGTTTTTTGTAGCTCGGTAGATAATCTTCATCGCTGTCTGTATGCGTACCTTCGAATGGATCTGCTTCGCTTTCACTATCACTATATGTTACGGTTTAAAATTCCACTGATAAAAATAATGGAACAATACTGTTTTTATTTCAATTTATTAATAATCAAATTTCTTTTCCAATCTGGAGCTAGATGAACATTCGGGTAAACAGCCAACTTGATGGTTGAGATCAACCTCAGGGCATATTGATTAGAACAATCTGAATCTTCGCGCGCTTCACACTGATCGTTTCACCTTGGTCCGTCTAGAGAACCGAGCCCGTGAATGATTTGATCCTTCCGTTTGGTACTGATCTACGCTCAAGATTGATAAACCGACTAGGGGGGTGTCAGGCCGCGTGACGTCACTCTCTTATTAAGGTGGATCTGAAATGGATCGTAGGCTCGCGAACTTGACCGTTTCATGAATGATCATGGTTCAATCGCAATTTCCATTTGTCAAAAAATCAAGGCCAAGGTTGAAATCGAAGATAGGTATTTTTTTGTAAAAATCAAGACATTTTTCAACACGTGTTTCTTTGGGATAATTTGGCTACTTGATGGAAGTGCTAGCACCTGTTCGGTGGATTTAATTTTCCCTATAAAAGAAAAGTTAGGTAGTTAAGATAATCGTTGAAATCAAAATAATGTTATATCAAGGGATATAGGTTGCATCATGGAGATGGATCTTTGATTCAACAATTGACTACCCACAAGATTGGTTGATAAAAACTTACCTAAAGGCCACACATCATCATTGAGGTAGGTTCTTAGCTCAATTGTACTAATTTCTTATACTCATATCCAGAACTCTTTCCAGTTGCTTTTCTTAACATAAGATCATTTCTTGTAGGCCTTTTAGTATATACCCTCTCAGACATCCCGTACTTGCTTGTACCATTGAGCTTATGATACCATGCATGATTTGCTTGATAGTTGAACCCTAATCTAAGTGTACTGCATTACCTATGCT